TGAATGGGGGGGCGGGCAGAGAGTTGGGAAAGGAAAGGGGTTGGGGTGCCAGAAGCAGGCTATGGCCAAGAGACTTGTCAGCTGCCAAACTAGCCTGCCTGCCTGCAGAACTTAAAATGTTTCCCAGCCAGCCTGGCCACATGCTTCATGAATAACTGAACCCAGGAGAGTGGATGTGATTCTTCTTAGCCACCTGTTATTCTAACAAGCAGCTCCCATAGCCAATGGGAATGTGCTTGGGGCAGGGCAGTTCCTAAAACTTCCCCCCTCCCCTCCAGTTTTGAAACAGAGACCTGCAGCCACATTTCTGTACAGTGCGCAGGGCTGCGGGGCAAGCTTGAGAGCCTGTCTGGGGCTCCCCGCTATCACCACAGGACGGATCCGGCCCTCAGGCTGTGTTTTGGCCAAGCTTGCTGCAGGATTAGTAGTACTGCTGGGAATAGAACATTATATTAACTTGTTGCTTTAATTTAGGGGTGGGAAACCTCTTTGGTGTTGAGGGCCACTGACCCACAGAAAAATCAGTCAGGGACTGCACACAAGTGAGAAGCAAAAAAACAAACCAACCAAACCCTCCGTGTCGTGGCCCTCAGCTGAGAAGGAGAAAGACACTCCCCACATTCCCCTTGCACACCAGAGCCTAGTACGACCCATACTAGTAGATTTTGTGTGCTCCAGCGCTGCGGAGGGGGGGGAGCACCAATGCTGGGGGAGGAGTCTCGAGCCTTGGGGGCCAGATCCAGGCAAGCCAGGGGCTGCATCCACCCCTGGACCTTAGGTTCCCCATCCCTGGACCTTAGGTTCCCCACCCCTGCTTTAATTCTATTATTTGAAAGGTACCCAAGTCTTTTATACCCAGTTACATTAATTTTTAGTGACTAAGTGAGATCTCACTTTCCTTAATCATCCATTGTACTGGGAATCCCGGAGTGTTGTAGGAAAGTCAGACTGAAAGTGAACATTTGTTTAATTTAGCAAGACAGTCTTTTCAAACAAATATTTTTAAAGTTCTACACTTCTGATTAATGAAATCTTGATTCATGTGGCTACAGCCAGCAGTGATTGTAATATTAGGTAACTTCTGTCATCAAAGGATGATTATAAATTGCTAAGCAATATGTCCATTAAGTAGCAAAGCTGTTTTAAGGATAGCGGTTCTCTAACACAATAAAATAACTAGCTTTGTAGGCTTTGATTTGTAGGCTTGATCAGGCAGTGTTTAAACATTTACTCAATGTACACTGGTGTAAAATTGCAGTGATCTCCTGAAAAGCAATGCAATATTTGCTACATTAGCTTTTCAGTGTAGAGCTTCCTTGTACAGTCTCACATTTTCCGGTTGAATCTGTATTCTTACTCTCCTTCTATAGCATTAATACTTCACATAATCTTCTTCTGCAAGGCATGAATGCTCTTTTTGTGAATTATATCAATGAACATGTAATTACAAGATAAGTGCACTTTATTTCTGCCATCCAGTTCATCCTATATGTGGAATGGTAGTTATCATCTTGACTTATAACTACCCATTAATATTGTTTTACATTTACAGTATTAAGCTGGGATTTTCAAAGAAGCTGAAAGAGTTAAGTGCTCAAATTTTGTGGAAAGGCATCCAAATCCCATTGAATTTCAGTGACATCTGGACACCTAATTCACTTTGGCTACTTTAAAAATCACAGTCTAAAACCTGCAAAGAATGCAGTAATGTCAAATATGCAATATGTGTTGTTAAACTTAGAATAAGATTCAGATTTATTTGTTCCCTATAACACAGTAGTAATATACA